GGCTGTTGCTTTGGCCCGAAACGGGGAACCTCTGGTGTGGTTGCGGTCAAACTGGAGGGACGCTCTGGGGAGGGGACCGTCTGCCCTGGAGGCAAGGCGTGAGAAGGCGAGAGGAGATGCCGGGAGCCGATCCCTGAACGCGGCCGGATAGGCACAATGCGGAGACTCATTCGCCTGAGCTGGTCCCGGCTGCGCCGCGCTCTCGCTGGCTTCGCCCAGAGCAGTTTTTGATACCTATCCCCCATTCATTCGCCCTCTGAAATGCTTAAGGCCCCTGGTTTTCCGAGACTAGGCTCGGTTTGCGAAGACCAGTCCAAGGAACTCCTGCAGAGATGCAGTTGATTGTTCTACTCTGCCTCCAAATGACAAGATCTGAGGATTGAAATTATTCCTTTACCCAGTTCAACTCTTGTTCAGTCGTCAGGGTTGATGCGACTAGGAATAAGTAAATTAGAAACTGCTCTGAAGCATTCCTAGTTTCTGTCTAGGGGTGCTTTGCACTCAGAAAAAGCTGCAACTTTTTGACTGCTAAAAGATGGGCTGCTGCACTTACACTGCAGTAGCCACTGGCGGCCCACGATTGCAAAAGATTTCCCACAATTTGCCATGTCCAAATGCCAACGCTTCTTTGATAACTGATAAAGGAAAGGTTCCCTTCTGTAATTGTCATTTCTTTAAATGGCATGATGCACCAGGGGAAACAAGATAGACATATCTATATGACAGGACATTGAAAAGGGAGAATAAAGGTGTATTGTATTACCTATCAATTTTTTTCTAAGGTATAAATAATCATCATGTGTTAATTGGTTATTACCTTTTAACTTCTTTTTTAAACTGCAGATGAGATTCCAATACACATACATCTTTAGCATGTTCTGCAACCTAGACCACAGATCTAGGAAAGAATTAGCTTTCCCATTCTTTCACATTGTTACTGGACTACTAAGACAAAATTTAAAAAAAAATTAAACAACTTGCCAAACTTCAGGGCTTATAACAATGCACACACAGTAAATGATGTGTTTAGAGGAGGAATGTTTTAAAGTTGAGGTTTAGAGCACCTTCACCTGAACCCACTGTGCTGGATACAAAGGATTCCTGATGAGAGATTTTTCAGGGAGTTTGAAAAATCATCAAGTCTCTATGTAAGAGCCAGATGAATTACAAAGTACAGTAAGTTGCTGGAAAAACAAAGAAACTTGTACAAGTGGGACAGAGGTACCTAGATAATATTACTGAGCTGTAGGGAAAGTAGAAACTTTGAGAAGCAGGCTGGCATTCTATTGCTTGCAGCAAATAAAATGATGCAGCTAGCAAAAATGAAGTAAGTGGAAGAACAAATTACACGGGGAAGATGGTACTCTGGGCAATGTGAGTTGTACCAAGATTTCCTCCTCATTTATAGTGATGGCAGACTGAAATAGTATTACTGCACCTGCTGAACAAGAGAGTGATAGGTAACATGATGTACCCAAAGAACACTAAAGGTAGCTGTAAGGCTCAGCACAGTCACTTCCAAAAGCCAGCCAAGGAATATTGACCTGAAGGGAAGAAATATACCAGCCTATATATAAATTTTATTAGGAAACTGTCTTGTTTCAAGACCTCATTGTAATTGTACTGTAAACATAGATTCATATACTGCAGAAATGAAGAAAGATTACAGACTGAATTCATCTACCCACGACAAGGTAATCATAAAATTATAGAAAGACTTGGGCAGGAAGGAACCCTAAAGATCATCTTGGTCCACCCCCCTGCCATGGACAGGGATGCCTTCCACTAGGCCAGGTTGCCCCAAGTCTTCTCCTACCTGGCCTTGGACACTTCCAGGGATGGGGCAGCCACAGCTGCTCGGGGCAACTTGTCCCAGGCCCTTACCACCCTTTGAGTAAATAACTTCTCCTAACATCTAATCTAAATCTTGTCTTTTTATTTTAAAACTGTTCCCTCTTGTCCTATCACTATCTGCCTGTATAAAAAGTTGCTATCCCTCCTCTTTTAAAGTCCCCTTTAAGTACTGAAAGGGGATCCAGTGGAGGTCTCCCTGCAGCCTTCTTCAGGCTGAATAACACCCACTCTCTCAATCTGTCTCATAGCGGGAGGTGCCCCAGCCCTCAGAGCATCTTTGGGCCTCCTCTGGACCCATGCTAACAGGTTAATGTCCTTCCTGTGCTGAGGGCCCCAGGGCTGGATGCAGCACTGCAGGTGGGGTCCAGAATCTACTCTCTCGATCTGCTGGCCATGCTGATTTTGATGCAGCTCAGGACATATTTGCTTTTTGGGCTGCAAGTGCACATGACCAGCTCACCCCTGAGAATCCCCAAGTGCTCCTCTGGAAGGCTGCTCTCAGTTCATCTCCCAGTCTGGACTTGGGTCTGGGATTGCCCTGACCCAGGTGCAGCATCTGCACTTGGACTGGTTGAACTTCATGAGGTTCTTATGGGCCAAGCCTTCATCTGCATTTTTGGCAGGGATTTTAGAGACTGGGCTCTATGTACTTTAATTGACTGCATATCAGCCCTTCCATATGAAGCTACTTGCATCCTTTGTTAAGGATTCATTTTATTGTACAAAGAATACGTATTCTTAAGTCTTCAGGCTCATTAAAGTAGTTGTTTTCTATACCCTGCAAATGGTTTTCTCGCTACATCTCTTAATGACCAGCATATACTTTAGTAATTGCAGCAGTACTCACAGTACATAGTATGTGTTACCATACAGTGGTTTTCGTGCCCAGATAGAAGAGCTCTTCAAAGCAGGCCTCAGCAACCCCAAGTTTTCACAGGCATTTACTAGTCCCCAAAATACAGAGCAATCCCTGATCCCAGCCAAGTTGAACAAAATTATTATGGAGGCTTTTATTTAACCTTTTGTTCCCTCTTTCATTTATACTCATCCTTTTTTTTTCTAAATAGAGACAGCTCTTGTCCCTTAACTACTGCACATGAAAGATCGCAACAAGTTCTGTTTCTTGCAAGAAGTCCTTGTTGAAGACAGAATCCCTGCAGAACAATTACAAGATGCTTGTGTAGCATTCATTTTGACTGGGGCCTTAACACTCTTTTCTCTACTTGATCAGGAGACCTCATGGCTCTGCCCAGCAGTGACTGTGTCATGGCAGAGCAGCTATGTCTCTCTGACTCCACCTGCAATGCCACATACAGGACCCTGGAAAACTGTGCCCTGGCCAAGACTCGCCTCCTTTCACTGGATCATGATAGCAGGGTCAGATGTCTGAATGCAGAGCTTGACCTCGGGAACAGCTCTTTGCTGCACTGCAAGTGCCACCGGCGCATGAAGAGACAGGAGCACTGCTTACGCATTTTCTGGACCGTTCACTCCAGCATGACAGATGGTGAGATGAAGTAATATAAATTTACAAGGTACTAGTAAGGCTTACTCCCGCCCCCTAGGTGAAAACAACCATCAATGTCCACTTCTCAGTGCTGTAGGTAATTGCTCTGGAACCATATCTCCTAGTAAAGGGAATTCATTACGACTCTGACGAGCAGAGAAAACTGATCTGGTATGGGACCAGCCCTTCAAATATACCACCAAACCTGACAGCTACACTGAGATAGTTAGATTTAGTGCTGTGAAAAACACCTAAAAATGGTCCTGTCTATCCATCACTGAAAACACATGTGATTATGACACATATTGCCATAGCATCCCTAAGTGTTCTGCTGCTTTCTTTTGTGGGATGCTTCTACTTGACCTCCCACTAGAGCCTGCCTGTGCTGCTCAGCTCCTGACACTTACTGAAGCTGAAAAATCCAAATGACTAGATAGACCCAATTCCAGCTGGACAAAATGTAATGAGGGTTTTATACAGTAATAGCTTTGCATTTCCAGAAGAACGATTCTTGGCATTTGGCTTTGAGTGAGACAGAGCATTTCTGAAATCCAGCCTGAGGAAAGAACCAGGCATAAATAAGAAAAATATCCATTTGAGAATAAGCAAACAAACAAACAAATCTGGTCATAAAGCATTTCTCCCATCTCCTACTGCATTAAATATCTTGTATCTTGCCTAGGTTATCTCAATTTGGAGACCTCTCCCTATGAGAATTCAGCAAATGAAGAACACTGGAAGACAGATTATAATAAACTGGCAGCTCTGGTATCAGGTAAGAATTGTAATGGTTACGTGATATAATGCTTCCCTCTCTTATCTTTTCATGGGTTGAAGATTATTAAGAACAATTTGGGGTAATGGCCTCTTTAATCAGAGGAATGCCTGCTCTAGGTACTTGCCTAAATTTGTCACTCCTACCATGCATAAATAAAGCCACAGATGCAGGCCCATGAAATTGCTAATAACCCACAATGATCCATATTCCAAAACAAGCACCCAACTATGAACCCTAGTATAAAAAATACTCTCTTGTAACTAGTATAATCATGGTGTCATATGGCAGGCACATAGAAGGACTGGTTTGCTTTGTTGTTTTTAATTTTTCAAATCTGACCATCAAGAAAGGAGTGCTCGTGCTTCCATACCAAATCTCTTCTGGAGACTTGCTTCATTGTTTTTGTGTTTCTTGTGGCTCTATAGGCTCACAGTTAGCAGGAGATGCAACAAATCCATGTTTGAGAGCAACACACATCTGTAATCTGAGCAAGAAGTGTTTTCGTCTGCGCACAGACTATGCCTCCATCTGCACCAAGGGAGCAGCAAGTGAGGATGTGTGTGACCGGCGCAAGTGCCACAGAGGGCTAAGGAATTTCTTTGAAAAAGTTCCTGAGGATTTCACCAAAAGGATCCTGTTCTGTCCATGTCAAGATGAATTTTGTGGAGAAAGACGCCGCAAAACTATTGTTCCTGATTGTTCTTTCCAGTATAACACCAAACCGAATTGCCTCTGGCTTCTGGACTCCTGCTTAGAAGACCATATCTGCAAGTGGGTGAGGCAGCAGAGGATGTTATCCAAGAGAACAACATCGAAACTGATGGTCTCATTTTCCTTTCTACAGATCCCGATTGGCTGACTTCCAACAAAACTGTCAACCTGTAGACATGTCTCCAGATGGCTGCTCTCTGCACAACCATGCTGCATGCCTGCAGGCTTACATGGGGATGATTGGTAAGTGATATCCACAGGAAGATACAGGGTAGATGCTTTCAGGCCATAAGCTTGCAGGCACTCTCTGATGCTGTGAAGGACCATTCTGGTCTCCTGCAGGAGGTAGCACTCAGTATACTGGTGAACATGCCTTACTGATGGATGCTAGTGCTCTCCCTTGCCTCAGAGGTAAATGCAGTCCAAAGAGAACTCTTCCATGGCATTTTTTTGCTGTACTTTGCCCCATCCCTGCCTGAGATTTCTGTAAGCATCTCTGCATCATCAGCTGGTTCGAAGCACTCCAAGTACCTCAGCAACAGCACACTGTGGGCTTGTTGAACTAAGTCATTGTCATTCCTAATGCTGGAGTTACATCCCATCACAGCAGTGATTAAATACAGCATTCCATCACTGCCTGACTTTTAGATTCCTGATGGCTTGTTAGCATTGCACTGTGTTCTCAGAGGCAGCCAGAACATAGCACTACCAGCTGTTAGAAGGAAGGTCGTCTTTGGTTTTAACTATTTACTATCTACCAACCTACTAAAACATTTTCAGAGTAGCTCAAAAGAGGATGTAAAGAGCAGCAGTACCTCAGAAGCTGTAAATCTAGACTATACCTTCAGTTTTTCCAGATGGCTCTGCTAGTTTTGAGCTACATGAACACTGCCCGAATGGCACGCTACAGGTGTGCAGTATTTGTTTGTCAAAAGACACCTGGCTACACAGTGTTGCCAGTTACCCAAGAAGCAAGAGTACCTTTTGCTGCCATATGTCAGCTGAGTCCACGCAAGTCCTTCACATCCTAAAACAAAAATCCTTCACAGTTTAATGCTTGCACCATTACATTGCTTTCCCCCCATCAATTTGCACTGAGCTCTGCAGGTACAGTTCTCACCAATGTGTCTGCTGTGTACACATCACAATTTAATGCTTGCACCAGCTTCAGTTCTCAATACATCTCAGAGTGCCTGTGTCAGGGGTAGCAATCTCAACACTTTCTCACAGCTCAGCAGACTTCAGGTAGGTTCATCAAATCTGACATTGCCCGGGTAACATGCTTATCACAGTGGAAGGCTTCTGCCTCCAGGGCAGCATTTCCTTCAGTATAACATGATTCATAATGCTTCTTTCATCTGGGGGTTTGGGACAGGCACACCCATGACACCCAACTATGTCAGTAACTCCAGCGTGGAGGTTTCCTTGTGGTGTACATGTGAGAACAGTGGCAACCAGAAGGAGAAGTGTGACCAGATACTCGGCATGTTTGAGAGCAACAAATGCCTTGGTAAGCATCAATCACATCACAGAGAAACAGCTCAGCAGAGAGCAATTTAAATCCTGTGGTTTCAAGATTCTGTGTTGCATTGCTCTTGTGTATAGTTCTATGTTCTGCAATGATCCATGATCTCCTCTGCAACCTGTGGCACCAGCCTGGATCTGCTCTAAGAACTGTTTCTGTATCTTTTGGCAACATTTCTGTTCACCTCGAACACCCTTGAAGCTATTTCCAAACATCATTCAAATGAAGGGCACTGCAAAAACATCACCAAGGGGAGATGAGACATGCTGTATCCATAGGTTGCTGAGTAACCACATCTGTGCACCAGGACTATGGGGTCAGGATTCCCCTCCTCATCCTCTGTTTCTGTACTCACCCCTCATTTACTCAGTCAAGATAAGAAGCTTCTGATGCAGCCTGTTACTAGATTCGGCATAGCAGTTGCAAAAGTCCTGTTACATGCCACTGTGCAATCCTAAATCTGTATTTCTTCTATTTCCCTAGTGTTTTAGCAACATACTTCAATGAGATTTAAATATTTTATGTTTGTAAAAGCTTTAAAAGGATATAAAAGAAAACAGCATCATTACATAAATGATTAATACTTAAACCTGCCTCCCACAGTATATAAAAGCCTTACACCCAGCACTATAGACACATCTACAATTTAATCATCTCATCTGAGATACTACAGACCTGCCCCTTACAAAATACAGAGTTGGGAAAGTTGCAGAGGGGCCCCAAAAGTCTTCAAGTACAGTTCAAACTGTTTTTGCAGTCTGCTCAATGTCACAAGTAAACTCACAAACTGACAGGCCATTCAGAAAACAGAGAATATGTATCTTCTAAATCAAGACCACACAGCCTGTGAGTGCCTTTCCGAAAACAGCTTCTCTAGACTTCTGCTCACTAGACTCCAAGGTGTGCACAAGAAAAGCACAGTAAGACTCTTACTTTACTTCTGTTTGCAGAAAATACCATTTGGTCTCAAATGCACCTGAAGCAGACAGCTCTAGAAAGACAGGAAGACTTATTTTATTCATCTTCCCTAAGCTTCCAAGGAGACAGTGCCAGCACATCTCTCTCTTCGGCAATGTCCCAGGTACGCAATGCTTTGTTGCCTTCACAAGACAGTGAGTCAAGTGGCCTAGAGACAGTAGTTGAAAAACCTTGGATCTGGAAATATGTGACTTTGGACATCAAACCAAGGAATGCCATGTGCATGCAGAACACTGGACTACTCTGCCTTAAGTTAGTCCTTCCACAGACAAGCAAAAATAGGAGGCTGTATATCTGGCCACGGGAGTTACAATAGTCTCACACTAGTGCTCAGAACCAGAGGTTCTGCAGCCAGACGTTTGAGCATAAATGTGTCTAACTGGGATTCATCCCTCTTTTTTATTTCCTAGGTGGCTGAAGGGAAGACACAACGAGACAGCTCCAAACAGAGCAGTATGCCTATGGCCTCCTCTGTATTTTCTGGAGCTGTTACTTCCTGGCCTTCTCTGGCTCTGTTCCTGCCCCTGTTGCTTAGCCCACATTAATTGGGTATAAAAGGAATCTTTCCTTCCCATATTATTAATATTATTCCACATCCAGGCATGTCCCAATACAGATTTACCTTTGGGAAACAGAAGGCTTGCAGACAAGAGGAACGGCCTTAACACAGAACGGCAGTCACTGGAAACCTCCCACATACTTGCACCCTTCTTTCCCCCTGTCAGTTTGCGCTGAGCTCTGCAGGTACAGTTCTCACCATTGCTTCTGCTGTGTACACATTCTGAGTAACGGGTTAATCTTCCAGCTTAATAGGTTAAATCAAAGGTCTGATTTCTTTCAGAATTTGTGCAGAGTTTCGTTTCTGACTGTAGGGATGATCTGACAGTGTCTCCGACCACCCCACCATCTGAAGCTCCTCCTCAGGCATACAATCATTGAATGGTTTGGGTTTGAAGGGACCTTAAAAAATCATTTGGCTTCAACCCCCATGCCACAGGCAGGGACTGCCTTCCACTAGTCCAGGTTGCTGCAAACCCCATTCAACCTGGCCTTGAACACTTGGAGGGATGGGGCAAGCACAGCTTCTCTGGACAATCTATGGCAGTGCATCACCACCCTCACAGGGAATAATTTTTTCCTAATAGTCAATCTAAACATACCCTCTTTCTGTTTAAAAATGTTGTTCCATATCCTGTCCCTAGAGACCCTGAAAAAAAAGTCTCAGTGCTTATCATCCCCCCTGATGTGTTGAAAAGGCACAACAAGATCTCCACAGGGCGTTCTCTTCGCCAGGCCAAACCACATCAACTGTCTTGGCCTTTCTTCATAGGAGGGGAGTTCTAGCCCTCTCGTAATTTTCATGGCCTCATCTGAACCTGCTTGAAGAGGCCCATGTCTGTCACGTACTGGGCACCCCAGAGTTGGAATGCTGAACTCCGGGTGGGGAGGTGGGCTGGGGTAGAGGGGAAGAATCGCCTCTCAGCCTGCTGGCCATGCTTCTTTTTATGTAGGCCAGGCTGTAGGATGGCTTTCTGGGCTGCAAGTGCATTTTACCGAATCATGTCTAGTTTTCCATCTAGCCATGTATCCAAGTCCTTTGCTGCAGGGCTACTTTCAATCCATTTCACTTCCCCACTCTGTCCTGATATTGAGGGTTGCCCCAATACCAGATGTGGGACCTTGCACTTGGACTTGTTGCACTTAATGAGTTTTGTTGATATCCATTTCTCAAGCCTATGAAGGCATAGAGCATATCATCCTAAAGACTAGAAGCCTGTGCTTCAGGGTGGGTTGCAAGTAAAGCTTAATAAATATAGATGTGAAGTCCTCAGTAAATACCATCTCTGGATTACTTTCAGTTCCCTTTTCAAATCCATTCTTTTAAGTATATGAAAAATACCAGTCCAGATCAAGAACACTATACTGGAGTTTATGCTCCATTCTGTTGTTCCTTCAACATACACATAATTCATTATCACAGCTAGCAACACACTAGGGTTTTGTTGTTCAAGATGAATGGTGCTCAACTCCAGTAGATTTAGGCTTATCCAACAAAAGATGATGCCTGGCCTCAGGACAGACCATCTCTGTAACCCTTAGAGAATACATTTGGCTCTTTGAAGGTGCATTGATCACAAACCCTGGGACATATAGTTGCAAGAATCTCCTTGTATCTGTCCACATATTCAAGTTACCATTGTCACCTTCCAGCCACTTGCCCCATCTTCCTCTTCTGCCAAGCACCGTCTCATAACCAGTTTATTCTGAATATAAATGTGTGCACTGTGTAACTGCTGTTAGTTTGTACTGCGTTTGTCTGTTAAAATGTGGTGTTAAGTGAATATTGATTTCTGAGCATAGGTTAACAGTCTGCAATCAATTGTGTGCAAGAGTTGCCTCACCAGCCAGCCAACATTTTCAAATAGCCAGAAACTCAGCTCAAAACAGCTCCTCCATGCATACATGTCAAGCCCATTGCTCATACTCAGAGAAAGGCAACAGATCTGAACAATACTATACACATCCAAACAAGATTATAATCCCGAACAGAGGCAGAGTAGCTGAGTATTTCTTTTTATCCTGTGTTTTATCTGTTGCCAAGAAAGGACATCACTGTCAGACACCTTATTACAGAATCTTACACCATCATGTGTATCAAAGTAATTATCCTACTGCAGTGGTAATATTTTCATTTCCAATTCCAGACTTCTGTTTATTTCCTAGGCAGGTAGAGAGAAGAAAACATGCATGCAGCAGCAGCATCATCTCCTCTGTCACACAGAGAAGCAATGTATTATTTACATGCAGTAGGAATGAATATGTTTTCTTAATACACAGCTGTACTAATGCTGATATTTCTCCTTACCTGCTGAAATATGGCTATTTGGAGCAAGAGACAGCACTGTTTCCACATGTTTGCCACCATTAGTTAATAAAAATAGAGTCCATGTAACCCTAATATAGTAAGTACATTAGACAATCCTCCATATTGTGGGACTTAGAAATGTATCAAGATTCTTGACTGTAATGTAATAGCATCTGTCATCTCTAGAAGTTAATGGAGAGTGACAGGGAAGAAGAAAATCTTGTTTGTTTCACTATTCCACACAACAGAGAGAATACTTGTGAGAATAACAGAGTAGATTTCTGAGTGATCTGTACCACACACACTGGTACACAGTGTACTGCATTGATCTCCCACTCATCTGTGCTGTGATCTTTCCTCTTTCCCAAATTTAGTGCTGTAAAACAGATTGATATGGAAAAAGGGAGTAGCAATTTCTTGTTCATGTTTAGGGCACTAAGTTCCTACTAAGAGGATTATTGACTACAACTGCAGTCTTCTGTCATATCCTGGATTGTATAGGAAAATGCTTGACACTTGGACAAATCATACTCTAGACTGAAATTGAAACAAAACATGTCAGTTTGTTGGGTTTTTTTTTCCCAAGTGTCACGTGTCTTTTTTTCATGCACCTTTATATACACAGCTGCCTCTTAGCTTGTTCATCAATAACTGCAAGAAAAATTCACTTCTAACTACACCTTCATTCATAGGCACTCACACTGTTGTGAGTACAAACCCATTTTCACTTAGACTTTTCTAACACCTGGTCTCCATATATCACAGTTTTTCAACTACACAGTATATATGCATGCACAACTTAACTGCTACTAGAATTGTCATGCCAGTATCACTATCAATTCAGTTCTGTCAGCACCATCAATGTTCCAAGACTGGCACATTTCCTAAACCCATTCAGACCAGCTTACTAACCATACTACAGGGCAATTAAGAACCCCACTTCAGCTTCTGTTCCCAGAAAGTGGAAAACAACATCCTGTGAGCACCTATGGTCTCACAAAAGATTATCCACAAAACACAAAATTAATCAAATTAAAATTCTCTATCCAGACAGTCTTAAAAATGAGCAAGCATATAGGAGGAGGGAACCTTCTAATTACTGTAATGCAGATTATTTTTTAAAGAGTAAAGTAATGTGAGGTCTGACTAATAAAATTTATCTTGCAACTCTAGAAGTCTCCTGCCTTCCTTTCTATTTCATAGAAGCTACACTCCTTATCTCCACTGCTGGAGACATTATGGAACAGAAATGTTAAGAACAGAGTTAGAATCTCTTACAAAACAATCTTAACTTTTACAGATATCATTCACTGTCAGGTACTTCAGCTGTGGCTTCTAGAACTCTGACAGAGCCTTAGGTTCTTTGTAGCATTTACAAAGGGCATTCATATAGTCCTCCAGCAGTGAGCTCAGCCAACTGTTAGATAAGTGATTTCTTGTGACAAGTGGGAGAACCAATTCACATTTCTTGCCCGAGGTCATAAGCAAAATGATGCCAGAGATAAACCTTGATTTTGCAGGTCCAAAAATAGTGTCCTTGCCTCATTCAAATAATTCCCATTGCCTCCAAGAAATGTCTATGTTTTAGTAAGCATCAAGTGGCTGCAGTTTTCCTTTTAGAAGGGGGAACAATATGTTATTGCAGATGACAAAAAGCTAAAGCACTTTTGGTTTCAAACAGTGATTCCTGGCTACAGGTCTCTGGCACACCTCTCAAAATCAGCTGACAATAAAAGGTAACTTTCAATTGATAGGAAAGAGCTACAGGTTCAGCATCTATAAGGAATGAAAATATCTTTTTCAGTACATCCTAAAAATCACTCCATTTGCCAAAATGATAGGCAACTTCACACAATAAACTACACAGAATAAAAAGGAGAATTGTCAAAGCAATCTTTGAGGCGTTCACGTACCACGCAAAGCTTTTGGGGACAACAGTGGAGAAAGAGGAAGCCAATCAGCACTGCTGAGCTCCACAGGATAGTTCCCCACTGCTATGGAATCACAACTCGCAGCTATTCCACAGCAGCCTCCCCCACTGAAACAGATCCTGGTAAATACAATCAGAGGCTAATCACTTCTACTCCAGGGACTTTGCGGCTGAACCTTTTTTCATTTGAGGCAGGGTCGGTTGAGCCTGAGCTTGGTTAGTCTCTAATGGAAGCTCTTCTGATAGGCGATTAGCTCTCCTCCAGGAAGCGACTTGGTGTTTGGGTTTCTTGCAAACCCCAGGGTCAGCAGAGGTCAGGGGATGCTGCACTTTCTCCAAGTGCCTCCATGAAAATGGCCACACATACTTTCCATTTACAGCTGATCACCTCCATTATCCCCAAGCTAGGAGGAGATGATCAGCAATTGTTAAGTGCTTGAATCAGACTAATAGCTCGTTGCTAATTCCGCCAGTAATGGGAATCTAAATTCCTGGTAAACAAACGGACTGCTTTTCACAAACAGGGATGAATGCCAAAAGCCTAATATTAGAGCTCTGGAACTAAAGCTTTTAGAGCAATCCTGTCCACTAGAAGATGTTTAATGAGATTACATACTAAATAATTAGAAAATGAAGGCCCACTTGGAATCAATGGGTAACTGTCTAATTAAAATGACAAAGGGGCTCTACCCTTTTTTAAACAAGTTTATACTAAAATGGTATACCTGATAAATGGCTCTGATAACTATATCTTTACCTTTGGGCAGAACAAGCAGACATTAAGCTAGCACAAAATAATTGTGTGATTTTTGGCTCATCTTTCTTCCCATTGGTCTCACCTGTTTTCCTGTAAGGTATGTGCTTCAGCTGTTTCTTCCCCCATCAGATGACAAAATTTATTAAGAAGAACTCCAATCACTTACCCTTATGTAGAGAAAATAATCTTTGCCTTTGCTTTACTGTATGGCCAGAATCACAGAGTTCGCATCATGAGATGCTTGAAGAGCTAAGCGGTATGGACTGGACCCTCTAGAAGCACTTTGCAGGAAGAATTGCTAGTGAGCCTGAGAAGATTATTTATATACAGAGATAACTGTAAAAAGACTGAGAAATGTCCTACTGATAATATGGCTGAATCAAAATTGATTAGTTAATCACATGACATCCTTATCTCCAAATTGAAGAAAAAGAGGTTTGAAGGGTGGACAAATTGGTAGATAAGGAATTGGCTGGATGGATGGAACCAGAGAGCTGTGGTCAATGCCTCTATGTCCATACAAGCTGAGCAAAGTGCCATTGTACTCTCCTCCCTTGCACC